AGGAAGGAAGGAAAGAAAGGCAGAGAGAAAGAAAGGAGGGAGAGAGGGAAGGAAGGAAGGAAGGAAGGAAGGAAGGAAGGAAGGAAGGAAGGAAGGAAGGAAGGAAGGAAGGAAGGAAAAAGCAAGCTGAACAAGCCATAAGGAGCAAGCCAGGAAACAGCACCCCTCCATCAGCACCTGTCCTGAGGTTCCTGCTCTGAGTTCCTGCCCTGAATTCCTTCCACAATGAACCATGATGTGTAAGTGTTAAGTGAAATAAACCTTTTCTTCCCCTATTTGCTTTTGGTCACGGTGTTTTATCACAGCAATAGAAACCCTGAGAGAGAGAGAGAGAGAGAGAGAGAGAGAGAGAGAGAGAGAACCTCTCCATCTACTATGGGGTTTACAAAGATCAAACTCAGGTCACTTGGCAGCGAGTATCCTTACCCACTAAGCCATTTCATCAGCCCGCCCCCCGGAATTTCTCAAAAGAGATCTTTTTTTGGCAGGCAGTAGTGGTGTGTACATCTTTAATCCCAGCACTCAGAAGGCAGAGGCAGGTGGATCTCTATGAGTTGGATGCCAGCCTGGTTTACAGAGAGAGTGTCAGGAAAGCTGGGTGAAAAATAAAAAGCAAGAGGAGTTTTCTTAGATAAGGACAGAAAGGGACAGGCAGGACACCTGCTAAGCTTAGGTCCTCTTAGACTAAAGCCACCTCAAGGCCTCCTCTGTGCTCGCCAACCCCTGTCAGGTGGCACTAGGAAGTATGGTCTCTAGGGACTGAGTCCCCTTGGGGAAGTCTTAGGGTGAAGTGCAAGAGGGAGCAGAGTACAGAATGGGGAAGGAGGGAGTCCAGGTGAGTCGGAAGGACAGCATTCAGGGGAGTCATGAAGGTCATGGGTGTGCACTGCGGTGAACTGCCCGAGAGGCCACATCGGCCTTAAGGAATTAAGCAAGGTCGGAGCCCACTCCAAATCTCCAGAAGTGTTCCCAACCTTAGCATCTGGGCAACTGTCACTCAGAAGGCAATGACAGAAAACAACGCCTTCCCAGGTAGCCCTTGTCCATTTTCTGCCATCCTTCACCTGCTCAGCCCGGCAGGAGTCAGAATCCTGGGGAGACGCGGTACCCATGACAAAGGACAGAAATGCGACAAGGAACCTGGGCACACCATGGGTCCCCTCATCCCAGGGCAATTTTCTGTGTCTGGATAACAGTCTTATTCAGAGGCAGAGCAGAAGCTGTGATTTAAGTGGAACCAGACTTTTTAGTCCTTGAATGTGACTGGCCCATAACAGGACAGTCACCAGGACCGCGGGGGGGGGGGGGCACAATAGTAAAACCACAACCAATTTCCTGAGTTCAGCCAGCTCAGTGGACCTGATGCCTATGGACAAGGGTGCAAAGCTGGTTCTGTCCTCCTAGAAACAGCAAGTCCTTCCCACTGGGCAGGACAGGTAGGAGGGTGGGAACAGTAAACTGTGACAGGATGCTTGACGGTCTGGGGACACTTCAGAGGAGTGACTAATGACTGCGGGAAGAGAAAGATTTCTGACAGAAGAGGAACAGACACAAGCAAAATGTAGACCCCTAGGCGGAATACGGGACACAGGAGGGACTAGAATGGAATGCTGGCCATAACTGTCTGTCCAGCAAGGTCTGCACCAACCTTTCTCATCTGGAACTTGGGGGACATTCCCTCTGCCTCCCCAGGTTCACAACACACCCTGGGACAGATAAACATTCCTACCCTACCCAGACAACCAACCAGTAGGCCAGAGAGACTCGCTCCACAGCCAAAAGGGGACTGCAATCAAATCTAGTCCCGCCTCTTTTGGGGCAGTTCTCAGAGACCAGGCTGGAAGAGATGACCAGTACAATGAACACAAATTCACAGCTTAGTGTGCACCTGCATCCTCAAGGGCTTCCCACCCACTCCCAGGGGGCCCTCACTTACATAGGAGGCCAGGAGGGTCCTTGAGGCCAAGATGAGAGCCAGGTAGAGGCAGGGAGCTGCAGCAAATAGGCTGGAAGCGCAGATGAGGGGCTCAGCCCTGGGGTTCACCTTCTTGTACCTTCTCGAGGCCTCCGCCCCCAGGATGACACCAATAATGCCAGTTGCGACCGTCAGTGCCCCAAAAATCAGGCTGATAGGAAAAAACAGAGAGAACCTGGTCAGACCTGCATCCTATCCCTGCCTCCAGGGTCAGGCTACCTGACCCAGTTACACCATCTGGTACCAGCAGGAGGCAAGCCCAGAGCTGCAGCTGGAAAGCTAAGGACCCTTACTGTGTAGAAACCTCTGCCCAGGCACACCCACGGTGACCTCTGTCTCACCGCTCCAAAAGCCCCACTCAGAAATTTTAACTCTGGGGCCCCACCCATCCTCAATGCTTAGGTGATGGCACACATTCGCCTCTTTTTTGTTGTTCATTTTGTTTTGGTGGTGGTGGGGTTTGTTGTTTGGTTCTCTTCTTTCTTTCTTTCTTCCTTTTTTTTTTTTTTTTTTAAAGATAGGTTCTTGTTATGCCTTGGCTGGCCTGAATCTCACTATGTCCTCTAGCTCACAGAGATCCACCTATCTTTGCCTCCCCAGTGCTGGTATCAAAGGCAGGTGCCACCACACCTACATATTCCCCTCTTGAATCTCACCCATCTTCACACTGGCTCTGTATATCTCCCAAGCAGCCCCCAACAGCACACCTTTCCCACCCATTCTTGTACACACTTCAACCCCATCGGCTTTGACAGAGATTATCTCTCTACACAGATCGTCAGAAAGCACTTCTTCCTCCTCCATGACCTTATTTTTATGTGTGCACGTAGTACCAATGGTGGTCAGAGGAGGCATCAGGTCCCCTGAAGATGAAGTGACAGGGAACTGTGAGTCGCCACTCGGGTGCTGGGAACACAGCCCCAGGTCCTCTGCAAGAGCAGCCAGTGCTCTAACCACTGAGCCTCCTCTCCAGTCCCAGAAAGTGCTTCTTAAGACACGATTGACTATGTTCCTAACCACACTTTGTCCAAATCCTCCATCAGCTCTCAAATACCCAGAGATCAGGTCCCTCAAGTCCCAGCTCTGCTCCTCTTGTCCTCAACTCTGCAAACCCCACGTACTTCCATTTCTTCATTTGGGACACTCTGCAGTAGTTTTCTTGTTTCCTTGCGTGCTGTATTCTCAGCTTTCCAAATTCCTGCTCTGCCCACGTGACTCTCACAAATACTCCCTCCCAGGGGACACCATCCACTGTGCCCACACTGTCTGCTTTATTTCCATTGGTCCCTGTAGCACTATCTACCATCCATACCTTGCAGATTCCTGAAAAGCAATGTCCAGATTTGGTTTCTCTCCTGTCCTCTGTGTTGGGAGCCCAGAACATAAATGATACACGTTAAACAAACAAACTCTTGCAAGACTAGGAAAGGTGAAGGGCAGTATCGGACAGCTGCTGGATACAGAGACAGGATCTGCACAGACAGACAGACACCATCACTCCACTGCTCCTTTTAAAGGACTTTCAAGGCCTCACTGAGACAGTGACTGGTGTGGACTCTGACAGCCAAATCTAACCAGGCTCTTCCTGGCACTCTGGTGTCCTCTCTACAAACCCCTGCCAACATATGGCCCCATGGGACTGGCCCTGTTGACCAGTGTGGCCTCCTCTCTCAGACCCTCATTGCACAAATGACAGTTCTCCGAGCCAGTCTCATGATTTCTGGCCAGCCTCTGTGGCCCCAACAAACACCTGTCTCCCCCAGCCATGGCCCCTCTCAGACACAAAAATCACAGACTTGTGTGAGATGGCCAGGGCCCAACTGTTATCCCCATGAGAGCGGAGGATAGTGGCTCAGTCAGTTCAGTGCTTTGCCTCTCAAGCACGAAGACCTGAGTTCAATCCCTCGCGTCAGCATAAATGTCAAACACGATGATGTCACGCTTTCATAATCTCAGGCTTGCGAAAGCAGAGATGGGCAGATCAGTCTGGCCAGCCGGCCCAGCCTAAAAATCAAGTGGACAGCTCCTGAGATGTGACACTGACTTCTACACACACACACACACACACACTCAACAAATGTGACTTGTGGGTTGGCAAGATGGCCCAGCAGGGAAAGGTACTTGCTGCCAAGCCTAACAATCAAAGTTTGATCCCCAGAAAGCACATGGTGGAAGGAGAGACATGACTGTAGCATGTTCTCTAGTCTCTGCACACATGTGAAAGAAAACACACACATACACTGTAATAGGTTTTAAATTTTATTTTTATTTTATGTGTATGGGTGCTTTGTCTGGGTATATGTCTGTGCCAGTGGAGGACAGACAGGGCATCAGAGCCCCTAGTACTATAGTTATAGATAGTTAAGAGCCACCATGTGAATGCTGAGAATCAAACTCAAGTCCTCTGGAGTAACATCCAGTGCTCCTGACCACTCAGCCATCTCTCCAGCCCTTGTAACAATTATTTTAAGTAAATTAACTTTGAAAAGAATGTAGCCATGCAAAACTGGACATCAGCAAACTGAGGGCAAGTGAACCCCACCAGTCAGCCTGTGAACCGTCTATCCCATTAGCTGAGAACTAACAAACTTACCCCTCTCTATGCAGCAGGGCCCATGGAAACAAAGCAGTCAGGAACTTGCCTGAGGCTGCCTGACACAGCCTTTCAGGGGCAGGGACAGAACTTCCGAGCCCTCTCCCACCAAACAGCAGTCTGTATGTCCCTGAGCCCTGTGATGGTCCTCACAAACCTCCCAGCCAGGCTCTGGCTACAAGTCAGATCCTGAGGAAATGGTTTCATCTCTGAATCTCACTCTGAGCCAGACATGGTGGCTTCTCAAGACCTTTGGGAGTCTTGGGCTGATTGATCGAATAGGCAGTTCTCTAATTGGCTCTCTTGCCAGGAGAAAATACGCCTCAGCCCCTAAGACCTTCAAGTACCACCCCCAACGCAAGATCCCAAGGGGCTCCTATAAGCTCTACAGCAGTCCAGACTCCATCTGCACACACCCCAAGATAGGACTTCTATTCCCTGCCATGCTGCAACTTCCTCTGGGCCACTTCAGCTTCAGGGTTGGAAGCTTCCTCCTGGTGTTACTTAATTTTTTTAGTCAACTTGTCACAAACCAGAGTCCTATGTGCAAGTGGAGGTCAGAAAACTTTCAGGAACCTCAGTTGAGGAGAGACCTCAGTCAGATGGTCAAGTCTGTGAGGCCTTTCCTTTCTTGCTTTTTTCCCAAGACAGGGTCTCACTATGTAGCTCTGGCTGTCCTAGAACTTACTATGCAGACCAGGCTGGCCTCAAAGTCACACAGATTTACCTTCCAAGTGCCGGAATTAAAGGCGTGCACCACCACTCCTGACTTTTTATTTATTTATTTGTATGTGTATGTGTGTGTACGTGCACTGGTAACCATAGAAGTCAGAAGAGGGTGCTGGATCCCCTGAGACTGGACTTTAGGACAGTTGTGAGCTGTCCTGTAGGTGCTGGGAACAAAACCCAGATTCTCTGCAAGAGCAAGCAAGTGTTCTAAAAAAAAAAAAAACTGAGACATTGAGACATCTCTCCGGCCTCTGGCGTTTTCTTGACTAAGGATTGCTGGGGGAAGGAACGGGACCACCCCAAGCAGGTGATCCTGGAGAGCAAGCCAGTAAAGAGCAGTCCTGCATGGCTCTGCTTCAGTTCCTCCCCCACCCCATTCCTGCCTGCATTCCTGCCCTAAGCTACCTCAGTGGTGGACTGTGACACAGAAGTGGAAGATGAGGAAATGAACACTTCTTCCTCCAAGCTGCTTTTGGTCACGGTGTTTATCACAGCGACAGAAAGCAAGCTAGGACACCACCTCTCTCTCACTGCATCTGGGGTTGATCCTAACCAAGGGGTTGTAGTAGCCCCAACATGAGGACTTTCTACTGCTCTTCCCTAGGCTAAAACCTTAGCCTCACAAAATATTCCAATCTCTGGAACCTTCTAGGGAAAACCACACTTTGCGGATATTCAGAACCCTCATATTGCCTGGAATGACTGCCCTCATTTAGCTTTGACTTCTGTGCTCACTGGGGGACCTCCAGCCCAGAAATAAAAGGACCGTGTCATGTGACTTTGAAAGCAAAGGTTAGAGAGATATAGCCAAGGAATGCTATCAGCTTATAAGGACCTAGGACAGGCAAAGGTTCCACAGAACTCCAAGGGAACGTGACCCTGCAGATACCACACCTTGATTTGTGATCGCTGGAAGTGTAGGCCTCCAAACTCAGGACAAAACTCATTTCTCCACTTCGGTGTTTTGTTTTATTTTGGTTTGGTTTGGTTTGGTTTTTCAAGACAGGGTTTCTCTGTGTAGCCCTAGCTGTCCTAGAACTAGCTCTTGTAGACCAGGCTTCCCTCGAACTCACAGATATCCACCTGCCTCTGCCTCCCAAGTGCTGGGATTAAAGACATGTGCCACCACTGCCTGGCTAATATCCGGGTTTTTTTAAATTGGGCTTTTTATTTTCTTTTTCAGTACTGAGCAAGGGCATATCCTTTTTCTTTCTTTCTCCCCCTTCCTTTTTTTAGGTAGATTTTCATGTGGGTCAGTTATCAGGCTAGCCTCATACTCCCTATGTAGCTGAGGCTGACTTTGAACCTTATGTATATCATAAGCATGTGTATATGTATGTATGTTTGTATGTATGTATGAGGTACTATAGTGTACAAGTGGAAGTCAAGGGAGTTGGTTCTCCCCTTCTACCATGTAGGTTTCCAGGGATCGAAAATCAGGTCACCAGGCAGTATATTGAGCTCCATAGAGACAGCGCCGGGGCAAGCAAGAGCCAAACGGGCACTGGGCGACATTGTGCCTCGCGGACAAAAATCAACTAAACATGGGCAAAGGAGATCCTAAGAAGCCGAGAGGCAAAATGTCCTCTTATGCATTCTTTGTGCAAACCTGCCAGGAGGAACACAAGAAGAAGCACCCGGATGCTTCTGTCAACTTCTCAGAGTTCTCCAAGAAGTGCTCAGAAAGGTGGAATTTTGAAGACATGGCCAAGGCTGACAAGGCTCGTTATGAAAGAGAAATGAAAACCTACACCCCCTCAAAGGGGAGACCAAAAAGAAGTTCAAGGACCCCAATGCACCCAAGAGGCCTCCTTCGTCCTTCTTCTTGTTCTGTTCTGAGTATCGCCCCAAAATCAAAGGAGAACACCCTGGCTTATCCATTGGTGATGTTGCAAAGAAACTGGGAGAGATGTGGAACAACACTGCTGCAGATGACAAGCAGCCCTACGAAAAGAAGGCTGCCAAGCTGAAGGAGAAGTACGAAAAGGATATTGCTGCTTACAGAGCTAAAGGAAAACCCGATGCAGCAAAAAAGGGGGTGGTCAAGGCGGAAAAGAGCAAGAAAAAGAAGGAAGAGGAAGATGATGAGGAAGACGAAGAGGATGAAGAGGAGGAGGAAGAAGAGGAAGATGAAGATGAGGAAGAAGATGATGATGATGAATAAGTTGGTTCTAGCGCAGTTTTTTTTCTTGTCTATAAAGCATTTAACCCCCCTGTACACAACTCACTCCTTTAAAAGAAAAAAAATTGAAATGTAAGGCTGTGTAAGATTTGTTTTTAAACTGTACAGTGTCTTTTTTTGTATAGTTAACACACTACCGAATGTGTCTTTAGATAGCCCTGTCCTAGTGGTATTTTCAATAGCCACTAACCTTGCCTGGTACAGTCTGGGGGTTGTAAATTGGCATGGAAATTTAAAGCAGGTTCTTGTTGGTGCACAGCACAAATTAGTTATATATGGGGACAGTAGTTTTGTTTGTTTGTTTGTTTTTTGTTTTGTTTTTGGTTTTTTTTTCATCTTCAGTTGTCTCTGATGCAGCTTATACGAAGATAATTGTTGTTCTGTTAACTGAATACCACTCTGTAATTGCAAAAAAAAATTGCAGCTGTTTTGTTGACATTCTGAATGCTTCTAAGTAAATACAATTTATTTTATTAAAAAAAAAAAAAGAAAAAAGAAAATCAGGTCACCAGTCTTGATGGCAAGGATCCACCCTTGAACTTCTGGGTCCTCGTGCCTCCTTCCACGTGTGATAGGATTAAGGGTGTGGGTCACTATTCTGGACTTGTGCAATTAATTCTAGGCTCAAATGCAGGGCCTCATGCACTCCAGGAAAGCTGCTACCTGAGTCACAGCCCCAGCCCACATTTCTGTGGTTTGAGACCAGTAAGTGTGTGGTCACTGACTTTATCAAGCACAAGAAACAAATATGCCCCTCAGTTCTCAGAGAGATGGTGTGAAGAGGCCGGAGAGTGGAAGCTGAGCAGAGACTACGACTTCTGTAAACAAGTATCAATACCTGCAATGGGACTGAGTCTTCAGGGCTGTTTCCGGAAGCTGTCTCTGCCTCCAGAGAGTACAACTGCACCAGGGGGGAACAAGGACAAACTTCTCCACCTCTATGTGTTTGTTCACAGGATTTTTCCTATATCCTAGACAGCTCTACCAGCTGGTGGGGCAGGTTACTGACAGCTCTGTCTGCAGTGGCAACAGGACGTGGAGCTTCAGAACAACAGCTGCAGTGTTAGATAGATTCGAATCTTGGCTATTGCTTGGTAGTTGTGTGATCCTAGACAAGTCACTTAACCTGTGTGACCTTGCATCTCATTTGTAATTCAGAGACAGCATAAATACCTAGGCAGGTTTTCTATGTAAAACAGTTGGCATGAGGCCTGAAGCAAACGTTTAGAGCTGGAGGTGGGGAGCCGGGTGGTGGTGGCCCACGCCTTTAATCCCAGCACTCGGGAGGCAGAGGCAGGCGGATCTCTGTGAGTTCGAGGCCAGCCTGGTCTACAAGAGCTAGTTCCAGGACAGGAACCAAAAGCTACAGAGAAACCCTGTCTTGAAAAATCAAAAAAAAAAAAAAATGCCCGTAGAGCTGGAGGTGGGGCTCATTGATAGAGCCCTTCACAAAAACCTGCTGGAGAGGCTAGGTGCGTGGCTCATCCGTGGAATATTTGCCTAGCGTTCGCCCCAAAGAACACTTGCTTAGAATGTGCAAGGCCTTGAGCTCAATCCCCAGAACTGCAAAATAAGTAAGTTTAATAAACATTGATGAGAAAGGGAAGGAAACTGGGGGCAGAGATAACACTGGGGCAGACACACAGACATTCTAGAAACCACACAAGCTCCCTCTGGGCATCAGGGAGTAAAATTGAGGCAAAAAAGGAGGCTGGAGAAGAGAAAGTAGGTGTTGGTGAGACCAGCAGAGAACCAAGCAGAGGGGACGCTGGGGATTTAGAAGCTCAAGGAGGGGCTGGAGAGAAGCTCGATGATTAAGAGCACTGCTAAGAACACTAGCTGCACTTGCAGAGGACCAGGTTTGATTCCCAGCACCCACATGGCAGCTCACAACCTTCTGTATCTTCGGTGCTGGGGACCTGGTGCCCTCTTCTGGTCTCCTCTGGCACTGCATACATGTGGTGCACAGACATACATGCTCGTTCAACACCAATATACATAAAATTTAATTTCACTTAATTTAAAAGTCCAAGAAATCAACAGGGCAAAATCAAAGAGGAAAAAGAATACAGAAGAGAAAGCATGCTTTCAGAGAAGGGGGCAAGGAATTAGGGGCATCAAAGAGGAGGGGAGACAAGGGAGGTAGGCCTAGGAGATATTCTTGACTCCCAACAGGAGGTCACTGGAGTCTTTGTAGAATACGTCAAGAGGTGGTAGGGATAGTAGAGGAGCCCAACAGAGCCAGAGGACTGGTCAGGCAGGAAATGCAATGATACCTCAACAACTCTCCTGGGTGTCTAGAAGGGTGACAAAGAAGAAGTGAACACATCCTTGACATCCCTAAGCCAAACGCAAGAAGGAGCTTCTCAGTGACTTAGTTTGCAATCTGTAAAGTGGGGTGACCTCACAGAAGACACTTGGGGCCCATTTGAAAGACAAGGAATCTATGATTCCTATCACCCCTGAAGCTCCACAGAAGCCTCATATCCTTCCCCTGGTGTCTTTGGAACCCCCAGAATAGCCACAAGAGTAAGAAGCCAAGGATTCCAGTACCCACAAGAACCAGCAGAGATGTCTGTACACATATGATAGCCAGCTCAGGTCATAGCTGGAACCCTAACCTGCCGTGAGTGATCTATGAAGATCAGCCATCTTCACAGATTGCCTGGAAAGACTGAGCCTGGGCTCACAGCCTCCAGGGAACTGTCCCAGCAAGAGCCAGGAACCAGGCCAGTGCCCTTATCCCCTCCTCACCTGTCCTGACTGCCGCACTGTTCCTGGAAGCAGGGAAGCTGTAGGCCGTGGACCACGCGAGCTTCAAACAAAAACTTGGGTGCCCAGAAGCCCAAAGCTCCAGTCACAAAACCTATGGCCGTCACTCCGAGGGTTGAAAACACAAAACTCCAGCTGCAAGAAAAAGTGATAGGGCCAGGACTGAAAGGGCCTGACCAGTGCCCCAGGCATGCAGGATCCAGACTCCCTAATGCTCCCAGCTATCCATGCCGCAGTGATTCATAAGGCCTGAGACCACAGTGAGGAGAGCTTCTCCTGCTTCCCTTCGAGACCTGGTAGGCACCTGGGCCAATGTTGCTCCCATGCAGTTGGAAGAGATGGACAATGAACTCACAACATCCTTCCAGAAGCCTGGGGAAGCAGATGGGGCTGGAAAAAATATGGCCACTGGATAAATGAACACAGCACAAGGCTAGAGCTCAGGCAGCCTGCCCCACTCTCTGCCACATGCAGAGGGAACCTAAGAGAAGGGTATCTCAGTAAGAGTGGAGCTCAGAAAAGGAAGAAGGCCATGAACACTGTGTCAGAGAGATGGAGGTTGGAGTTGTTAGGCCAGGCAGAAAAGTTTCTCTTTTTTTATGGCTTATTTAACTTTATTTTATGTGCATTGGTGTGAAGGTGTCAGATCCCCTGGAACTGGATTTTCAGACAGTTGTGAGCTGCCATGTGGGTGCTGGGAATTGAACCCTGGTCCTCGGGAAGAACAGTCAGTGCTCTTAACCACTGAGCCATCTCTCCAGCCCCCGAAGGGTTTCTTGAGACTTGCAACGGAGAGCGGGGGCACACTTACTTTCTCCCCAAGTATCTGACGTCCTCACACCAGCTTCTCCTCGGAGCCCTCACAGCCACTTCTTCCTGTTTCTCAGCTGCTCCTCGGGGTGGGTCTGGAACCAGCAGGATGAGCAGAACTAAGGCCACAGCATCCAAACAGGGCATGATCTAGGGAAGGAGGGCCAGGGAGCTCAGGGACAAATTCTACGGCAGCCTAGGGAGACAGGAGATGACCCGCCACAGTAGCCTAACTCTAGTCTAGCCCGGAGTCCCAGGTGCTGATTATATAGAGAGCTGGCACTAACACTTGCCCTCGCCCTTATAGAGTTAGGATAGACTCTCTCGCCAGTGTGGTTACCTTGACACCCAATTAACGCCCCCCCTGCTCAATACAAACTGTCCCCTACTGGCACCAGGGAGCCTAAGATAGTCGAAATCGGAAACTCAGACCACTGAGTATTCACAAGCCCTTTTCCTGGCTCACACTTCCAGCTGTCACACCAGTCCCACCTTGCCTTCCTCTCCTGGCATCCCTGCCTGCAGGACATGAATCTCACTGCCTACCCTGGGGCAGCTTCAAACAGTTCAGACCACGAGAAGGCTCCTGCTCAAAGCAAGCCAGGCCGGCTTCCTCGCAGCCTCTTCCCGCCCCAGGCTTCTATCTCTGCTTTCCATGACAGTTCAGCAGAGATCTGCATGCAGGACCAAGCCCCAGCACCCTTGGCCACCCAGTTTCTGTCTCTTCTGAGTGGTCCATATCCTTGTTCTTTTTTAGACTGGCCTCGAACTCACAGAGATCCACCTGCCTCCCAAGTGCTGGGATTAAGGGCATTCTCCACCAGTCATATTCTTGTTCTAATGAGAGCCACTGGCCAGCAGAGTCTCCCAGGTTATGTTCCCAGTTGTCCTGACTCCACTACCAAGTCACCCCGGATGGCAGTCCTTAGGGATGCTCTGTGCCTGGCCTCGCCCAGAAATGTACCAGTCCTTGTCCAAATAATCCTTCAGAGTCCATTGGTAGCCTTAACTTTTACAGCAAGGGAAGCTGAGGCCCCAAACAGGAAGGCAATTTTCCTGAGGACACACTGCCAGCAAACTGAGCAGCTGAGATTTAACCCCAAGGTCACAATTTCCACAGTCCATATTCCCCACGAGGCCCCAATCACCAGCATCCCAACACCCCACATGGCGCCAGGTACTATGCCAAGCGGCTAAGGCCACAGAAGACTGGAAAGTCCCAGCCAACCCAGGGGGCAAAGCAGAGGGATAAAAAGGAAGTGGAACTCACTCGGAGGGCCCAACGCCAGTTCCCTGTCAGCTCCGCCACAACTGACCCCAGCACGTAGCCCAAACCACTGCAACAGTGGAGTAAGAGAGAGGGCAGTGAGGGGTGGAAGGCAGTGCCCAAGCCAGTCTGACTGCAGGGAACTGGCTCCCCCGCCCAGGGAGACAGTCCTCTGAGCCTCGGAGCCCATTCCCTGAGAAAGGGCCAGTTTTACGCCACCCTTGATCAGAACCCTAGTGACCTCTGATTTCTAGCCCAGGCCCTGTGCCATTCCCTCCATATAAGGAGTGGCATAACCCACCACCAACCCCGCCTCTGCTTGAGTCAGGCAGGTTCAGGAAATGAGGGTCAGAGCTCAGGGGCCTGGCTGCCGGGCTACAAAGCACACTTCCTCACTGGTCTCCCAAGGCTACCCTCCCCATTGGGCCACACTGCCTCGTCTCACCCCTTCCGGGACTTAATTCCCTCCCCACTAGCCCATTGAGTGGCAGCGTTGTCCTCACTTACAGCCAAGAAGACAGGCTCAGAAAGAGAGATGCAGTGATGGGGAAGGAAGGAGCCAATGATGGGATTCAGATCCCAGCCCTCCTGGTTTGATCTCTCCTACCCCCAGCGCAGCCCCTGTTCTGATTCCTTCGGCCTCGGTTTACCTTTGGAGAATTGGATACCAACCTTCCGACTGGGATGAAGATGTAAAAGACAGCCAGTACACAGGTTCGCTGGTCCTTCACGAAGAGGTCACCCAGGACGGTGGGTGCAATGGTGGAGTAGCTTGCTGCACCAGTGCCCACGACCCCCCGGGACAGGAAGAAGAGCCAGGAATACTGGATAAGTCGGCACAAGACCATGGTGAGATCCGGAATTTTCCCATGGGACAAGGGGCCAGAGGATGAGTCAGAAGGCCTAAAGGGATCTCATGACAAAGGCCCATAGGGAAGGAGAGAGAAACATTTCCAGGCTCCCAAACTCACATGTGTGATCCTCCTGGTTGCTTATAGCCACTGCCTGCTCAGAACAGAGTGAAAATCCTTCTTCTGGCTCTCTGCTAGCTGGGGTAGTTTCCCAAGACAGTACCTATTACACCAACCTCCCCCAACTCCCGCAAAGCCCCCCAAAAAGGGAAGTGAAGTGGAGGGCCAGGAAGCCTCCTGTTAAGAAAGTTTAACGGGCCATGCTGGCTGTGGTGGCACACTTTAAACCCAGAACTTGGGAGGCAGAGGCAAGCAGATTTCTGTGAGTTTGAGAGGTCGACAAAGTGAGTTGTAAAACAGCCCTCGCTATATAGTGAGAGAGCCTGTCTCGAAAAAATACAAGCAAAAACAACAACAAAACACAGAGAAACTCTGTCTCAAAAAAAAATTGAAAAGGGGGCTGGAAAGATGGCTCAGCAGTTAAGAACACTGGCTGTTCTTCAAGAGGAACTGAGTTCAATTCTCAGCAACCACATGGTGGCTCACAACCAACTATAATAAGATCCGGTGCCCTCTTCTGACATGTGGGCATGCATGCCAGCAGCACACTATATGCATAATAAAGAAATAAATCTTTAAAAAACATTTAAAAAAGAAGAAGAGACAGGAAAAAGAAAAGAAAGAAAAATAAGAAAATCTAATGGGCCAGGTGGACATAGTGGTGCATGCCTTTGATTTCAGCACTTGGGAGGCAGACACACACAGATTTCTGAGAGTTAAGACCAACCTCTTCTATACGAAGAGTCCAACCCAACCAGAGCTACAGAGTGAGAAACTGTTTCCAAAACAGTGATGGCATACGCCTTTAGTCTCAACACTCTGGAAGCAGAAGCAGGCAGATCTCTGTGAGTTCTAGGCCAGCCTGATCTACAAAGTAAGTTCCAGGACAGCCAGTGCTCTATAGTGAGACCCTGTCCCAAAAAAGTAACAACAAAAACAACAAAACATGTCTAACAGCCTCCCTACTCAGGCTTAGAGGCTGTACCACAGCTCCCTCCGGGGCCCTGGCAGTACAGTCCCTGAGATGGCTTGGACCAGAAGGGAACTCTGAGGCAACTGGATCAGGAAGAAAGCAGATGGGGAAGGTTCCAGGGACTGGGCAGGGATGTAGGCCTTACCTGGTAGGAGATGAAGGAGCTGGAGAGGCCAGCCCCTGACCACAGCAGGATCCCAAAGCACAGTATGGCCTTGCGGCTGTGGCGGTCACCCAGATAGCCAAACACAGGCGCAGACACCAGCAGGCAGCCGATGAAGACTGGAGGAGACACACAAGGGACAGCCTGGATCCTCCAAAAGGGTGGCTGGGCAGACAGCCCTTCTGGCCCAGGGAAGAGGCCTGGCACAGATGCCACAAGCTGGCACCTTGGCAGTGGGCCCAGGGCAAGAGAAGGAAGAGATAAAAAGTTGAATCTTACTTTCCTGGTCCGTTATACAACCCACAGCCCAGAGTGTATGACACCGAGCATGGACCAAATCTCAACTCTGATTATGTTACTATATGGCCTCTGAACATCACCCCCGTCTTGGGAAGCTGGCATCAGACAGCATAAAGAGAATGTAGAACCACCAACACAGAGTAGATGCTAGCCTTCTGGATTTGCAAGAATGCATGGCTTCTGTGAGCTTGGGTGTAGGTACTGATCTGACCTGTCCCTCATACACCTTCTTCTGGCAAAAGGAAAGGGAGGTCAGAACTTTGGACCAGCAGAGGAGGAATCTGAAACAAGCACATGGACTACAAACCAATGATGATGTGGGATGCTGGGGGAAGAACTGGTGTGCCTCAGTACACGTACTATTCTCCACACTGACACCTATGTCTAGACCAGGATCTCAGGTACCCGAGGCCGAGGAGAACCTTGAGCTTCTGATTCTCCTATCTCTACCTCCTGGCTGTTGGTGCTATGGGTGTGTGTCACTATACCCCATTTTTATGCAATGCAATAGAACCCAGGGCCTTGTGCATCCTACACAAGCACCTACTAAGGGAACTACAGCTACATCTGCATCAGGCAGGGCATGGTGCATGCTGAAATTACAGCACTCAGGAGGCTGAGACAAAAGGACCAGAGCTTCAGGGTTACACAGCAAGACCTTGTCTCAAAAACACAAAGACAAGGAGCCAGCTGAGATGCCTCAGTGAGTAAAGGTACTTGCCACCAAGTCCGAAGACCTGAGGTTGATCCCTGGGACCCACACGGTGAAAGGACAAAATCAGCTCCTGAAAATTGTCCTCTGACTCCACACTCACATCATGACTTACGTACACACACACACAAGCACAAGAGCGCACACACAGACACAACACTAAGTGTAATAAAATGTTTTTTACTTTTTAAAAAACTTTTATTATTTTGTGTGTATGGTTGTTCTACCTGCATGTGTGTATGTGTACTTCATGTATACAATGCTCTCAGAGGCCTGAGAGGGTGTGGGATCCTCTGTAACTAAAGTTTCAGGTGGCTGTAAGGACACAGGATTCAACCCATGTCCTCTTGAAGAGCAGCCAGTACTCATTTTTGGGTTGTTGGTTTGGTTTGGTTTTTCAAGACAGTGTTTTTCTGTGTAACCGCTCTGACATCCTGAAGCTCACTCTATAGTCCAGGCTGGCTTTGAACTCACAGAGTTCAAAACCTGTCTCTGCCTCCCAAGGGCTGTAATTAAAGGCGTGTGCCACCGCTGCCCAGCCCACCCAGTGCTCTTAACTGGTGAGTCACTGTTGCAGACTACAACAATATTTGTAATAGCTAAAACTAAGCAAAGCACTTATTAGTGTTGTGTTTGCTCTTCTGTGAGAACAAAGACCTAGTTTGGGGTTTGCCCAGCTGGCTAGCACGTGGATAAACTAATGCACAATGTCTGTGTCTAAAATAAAATCTCCTCCTTCCTTGCAGGATGCTGAGTCCTGGCCTCCTAGTTGGTAAAGCTAGCAGGTAGATAATGAAGGCCTAAAAACCCCTCCCCTTTTACCTTATCCACTGTCAAAAGACCAAGATTTAGGAGTGCTCTGTCTAAAACCTGGGACTCTATTTGTTGATCATAGATGACTGACGTGTCCTTAGCCCAATGAATGTCCAGCTCAGGTCCCAGTCCCCCCACTCTCCCATGACCTGCTGTAGTACTAGGTTAAGCAATATGTAATTGTGGAAATTAGGCCACTTTTGACCTACAAAACCAGCAATTTAATATGGTTCAACCTACTACTCCACAGAGAGTTATCTCCAATGTTGACAGCGTTTAAAATTTTAATAGCTGCTGCCAAAACAGGGCTCCGAAAAGGCTATATCAATTTACACTGGCATAGAAATGTTAGAGCTCTTGCCACCAACTGATACGAGCTAGAATTTCATTTTTGTCCGTCTCATGAAAAACACATGGTATCTCACTGAACAAATGGTCTCAGGCACAGGTAGCCTCTCTCTCCTTATGTAGATGATAACTTTGATTCTTCTTCCTGCCTCTACTTCCCAGAGATAACAAGTATACCTACAACCAGTGCTCTCGGCGATGTTTGATTTGTTTTCTTCTGTTCAAGACTGAGTGTCCCTGTGAGGCCTGTTTGACTTGGAGCACACTATGTAGGCCAGGCTAGCCTCCAACTCATAGAGATCTACGTGCTTCTGCCTCCTGAAGCATGTGTTAACCAGTCCCAGTGTTAGCAAAATCTGTGTTGTTCTTTTCATTCCTTCTAGAACTATTTATTCCTTCATATGCTTTCAGTTGACATTTAAAACATTTTTTATTATCTGGATAAAATCTGTAGTCTCAGCTCTGGGAAGACAGAAGCAGATGGATCAAGAGTTCAAGATCATTCTTGGCTACTTGATGGTTTCTGGGCCAGCCTGAGTTACATGAGGCCTTATGAATGAATGAATGAATAAATAAATAAATTATTTATTTATTTATTTATTTTTGGTTTTTGGAGACAGGATTTCTCTGTGGTTTTGGAGCCTGTCCTGGAACTAGCTCTTGTAGACCAAGCTGGTCTCGAACTCACAGAGATCCGCCTGCCTCTGCCTCCCAAGTGCTGGGATTAAAAGTGTGTGCCACCACTGTCCGGTATAAACAAATGTTTTTGAGAGATGGATCAGGGTTAAGAGCACTTGTTCTTGCAGAGGATCCGAGTTCAGCTCCCAGCATCCACAATCTGTTATCTGTTCCCAGCTCAGAACAATCTGTAGCTCCAGTTCCAGAGGCTCTAGTGCCCTCTTCTGACCTCCAAAGGCACCGAGCATACACGTAGCACATATACACACACTCAAGCAGAACATTCGTACACATCGAATAATAAATATTTAAAAATAAATAAATCCAGGAATGGTGATATACACCGATAATCCCAGCACTTGGGAGGCAGAGACAGAGGGACGTCTGTGAGTTTGAGGCCAGTCTGCTCTACATGGAGTGTTCCAGGCCAGTCAATGCTATGTAATGAAACCTTGTCTCAAAAAGCAAAATGAAATAGATGTAAATAAGATTTTAATAAAAATAAATAAGTAAAATCTTTGCCTGAAGCTAAAATAGTTCAATAAGCGTAACATCCACACTGACCTCGAACAGACTTTTCTCCTTTTAACCAGCCCCTAAGTGAAACACTGCAGCTATGGTTTTCATAGATTTGTGTTAGCTATACCAAGTCGTCTGGAGATGACCTGAATTTAGAGGAAGCTGTAGTAGGGACTCTGCAAACACTATGCCTTTTTTAAATTTTGAGATAAGGTCTCTGTTGATAGTCTTGGCTGACCTAGAACTCACTCTGTAGACAGGTTGGCCTGGAACTCACAGAGATCTACCTGCCTCCATCTCCTGAGTGCTAGGATTAAAGGCACGTGCTGTTACACCCAGACATGCCTTTTTATTTTAAACAGGGTCTGTCTCACTAGGTAATACTGGCTGTCTAAAACTCACTAAGTTCCAGACTGGCCTGGAACTCTTGGTCCTGGAACTGTTCCCTAGAAGATAGAGGGCAACTGGGGCGAGGGACAGGCTGCAGAGAGGACCTACAGTGTACATGTGGCATTATATGACCATGTGTGTCCCTGTGTGCATACACATAGGTTTATATCACTTCCCCAAGCTTACATGGAAGGTTAACCTATGTTTCATGGTCTCATAAACCAACCCCTTGGAATGGAGTGTGGCTGCTCTCTGATGCTGGACTAATAGATTCTCTGCGACCCAGAGCCCTTCTGAGCCCACCTGAGGATCAAGGTGTGTCTGTCTACCTGTCTACGAACCTGTTAGATTTCTCAGCTCTGTGAGAGAAAAGCACACACTGGGATTTCTGGCTTCTCTGTTTGGAATACCCAGCTGAGCTACAACCAGGTTGGAAACTAGGAACACTCAGGAGCCTTCCCCAGTCTGTCTCCCTCAGTACATCCTGCAGCTGACCCAGCTCCAGAGTCTGACACCCAGCTGTCTCCTGCAGAAGACTAGGGGTCTAGAACTGGCCACAGAACCCACCACACTATAACAAAAGAGCCCTGTTCCAGGGTCCAGAACTGGCTCCTTACCTGTCTGCAGCAAACCAGCATGGCTGTCACTGATATTAAAATACTTCTGGACATCCAGTAACACTCCTAGGGACAGATAGACAGCATTGATGGGAAGCAACCCAACCAGCTGCCCTCCCAGGCTGCTTCCTCTGAAATCAGGACAGGCCCAGGTGAGCAGCACAGCACAGGACATGGCAGCTGGGCCCACGGTCCTCATCCCCACCGACCTGGACATTTTTACAACCACACAGCAATAGCAGCAACAGCAACAGCAAAAAAAAAAAAAAAAAAAAAAAAAAAAAAAAAAAAAACCAGAAACATGCCCGTAGAAAACACACACCAAAGTCAGGCCATGGTAGCACATACCTGTAATCTCAGCAGTCAGGAGGTAGAGACAGGAGGATCAGGAGTTTGAGGCCAGCAGACATCAAAGCCAGCCTAAGGTATATGAAACCCTGTCTCAAAAGGAGAGGCGGGACCATCACTGTGCCTGATACACAGACTCCACTTGCCCAAGACTGTCCAGCTGGAATGGGAGGAGCAAGGATTGCTACTCTGACAGAGGCAGCTCCCCCATCCAGCATCACAGAAGGGGAACAAAAGTCCCCACACGGGGCTCCGCCCACAAGAAGCCCTGCATCCACCCCTCTGATATGATCTCTACAGCCATTAGATGAAGATCAAAGAACGAAAGTCACCAGGTAGGAGAGTTCATTTATTCATCTGGTTTGAACCTAATCTCCATAACAACCAAACATATACATCTGTATATCTTTTTCACCTTAAAAATTATTATTTTGAGAAAAAAAATCCTCATATAGCCTAAGCTGGCCTTAAACTCTCTACGTAGCCAAGGATGACCTTGAACTTGTAATCCTCTTGACTCTATCCAAAGTACTAGGATTACAGGTATGTGCCACAGCACTGGTTTTATGGGTTGCTGAGGATGGTACCCAGGGCTTCACGCTTGCCAAACAAGCACTCGGCCAACTTAGTTACATCCTCGGCCCTTTTTCATCTTTTAATGACACCAGATGGCATGATCATTGGAGAGAAAGGAAAATATGCAACATAAGTTAGCAAGAAAAATAGCTACCTAAAAGTCCTCTGAGTGCACTCGTTTTCCATTTTTAGGAGAGTCCCCTTGATCTGTCTCCTGAGAACTTCTCAACCTTGTGGGTAACCCAAGGCCAAGGGCAAAGCCAGCTCTTCCCCCAGTCTCTACCACCCTGGTCTTCCTAAGCACTGCTTCCACGGGAGACCTTAGCTTCTACACCAATGTTTGACCCCAGCAGTCCCCAAGAACCCCTGCATGGTTTCACTTCTCCAAGCCTTCCCCATTGTGACCACAGCCAAAGGAAGTCCCAAGAAGGAAGGACTCTGACAGGCAGGTCTCAGGGTCTGACAGCCCCACTGGGGGCTCCCAGGGCAGAGAGAGTGCTGCAGTTGGGGCTAAGGCTCAGAAGGGTGCACAGTGACACTTCCCAGCAGCCCCTTGCCTCTCACCCCGCCCCACTGCCCCAAGCCCCTCAGCCCATACTAAGGTTCTGGCCTCCTCGTCAGCCTGATCCCCTGTGGTAGCCTCTGAACTGACCTCCCCAGCTCGCCTTGCATCTTCCGAGGACCCAAATCCACTTGAGGTTCTCTCCCATGGTTCCCCATTGCCTGGATCAGAAAGTACAAGCTCGGGGCCGGTCGGTGGTGGCGCACGCCTTTAATCCCAGCACTCGGGAGGCAGAGGCAGGCGGATCTCTGTGAGTTCGAGACCAGCTTGGTCTACAAGAGCTAGTTCCAGGACAGGCTCCAAAACCACAGAGAAACCCTGTCTCGAAAAACCAAAAAAAAAAAAAAAAAAAAAAAAAAAAAAAAAAAAAAAAAAAAAAAAAAAAAAAACAGAAAGTACAAACTCCCAGGTGGCCATTCAAAATTCAAAAGCCTGTGATCTTGCACCAAACACCCTCTGGAGGATTGTTTCCTGCTTTTTCTCCCTCTTGCCACTTCTGATCAGTACGCTCACCTGCCTCCATTCACATCTATGATTCCTGCCTTCCAGTCATCCCAGTTCCCAAGGCCCAGGAAAAACGGTCCCTGTGTGTCCGTTCTGTAGTCACTCATCCTCGGGGCTGCTCTGCTGGCACTCACCCCACTCTGCCTCACATCTGAGCAAGCTGGACCCATGTTCTGTGTCCCTCTGAGCTCCTCAAAGACACAGTCCTGCTCTGGTAATGTCTGCAGCCCCAGATTCCCATTATTCCAGAGGTTCCTGGCTATCCTAAACTCATAACTGATGGCTCAACGTCCTGGCTTTGGGCATGGCCAGCAGTTACAGTTACTCGAGTAGGCTTCCCAGCCTGGCCTGAGCCCCCTCATCTGCACTGCTCCCCATCTCTCTGCCTTGCATGGTCATTATTGGTAAGCTTCTTTCTGTGCCCCTTAAGACAGTTGTCCCTGCAGTAGGGACCACACATCTGAGTTTCTCCTGGGTCCTACCAGAGGCTCCTGCTCACAGTGCACAGTGGTGATGTGGGTGATGGAAAGTGAAGGTTGGCTAGGCATGGTGTCACACCTGCAGTCTCAGCACTTGGGAGACAGAAGCATTCTCAACTACATAGTGAATTCAAAGCCAAACTGGTCTTACTTAAGACCCTGTCTCAAAAACAAAGAAAGAAACAAAAGAGGTGGAGACATCAGTCAGTTAGTAGAGAGCTTGCTTAGCATGCACAAAAACCCTGACTTCGATCCCTAGAACTACATAAACCATTGCGGTGGCATGCCTGTAATCCTCGCTCTCAGGAGGCAAAGGCAGGAATGTCAGCAGCTTAAGGTCAGCCTCAGCTACATAGTGAGTTTGAGTCTAGCCTGAGCTACATGAGGCCTCAGAAAAGAAAAGAAGGCTGGCAAGATGGCTGGCTCAGCCTGTGTAGGCACTTGCTGAACGAGCTTGGAAACCTGAGTTCAATCCCTGGAGCTCACATAAAGGTGAAGGAGAACACCGACTCCATGGAAGGGTCCTCTGACCTCCACACAAATGCTTGCACACGCACACACACACACACACACATACACACCCATGCACACACAGATTAGAATGATCTTTCTAAGAAAGGATTGGCTATGAATTAATGAAGGAAAGAATGAATGCCTAGAAGAGAAAAGCAAACGAGAAAAACATTCGTCACAGAGCGAACGCATAAGCGAGCCACAAAACACAGAAGCAGGTTGTGCCCTGTTTCCAACAAGAAGGAAGGCAAACTGCGCAAGGTAGGCCAGCAGCCAGCTGCCCCAGAAACAGTCCAGGAAGAGCCACTCTCACTTGAGAGCTGGGCCAAGCTGTCCTGCCCTCCATAACCTTGCCTGCAGCTCCATCTTCAACCTGAGGCCTTTGCTGCAGAGCACGATCCTATCCATCTACCTCCTAATGTTCCTGCCCCCAAACATTGTGTCCCATTCTGGCTTGGGACCATTCAGGAGAGGCTAGAGACCACTTAGTGAGGGGAGACCACCAGAGATGTGCTCCAAGAGAAGGATGGGTGTTGGAAGGAAGGCCATGATGGGTGCACAGTCATGGGCTTATAGGGTGGGGGTAACTGGAGATCCTGCCCTGGGTCACCCCTTCCCTGCTCACCTGGGATGATGAACCAGTTCATGTAGTTCAGAAGGTTGATGTAGCAGAGAACAGCTGCAGCCAAGGATGCTCTCCAGCGGGGCAGGTTCCAGGAAGCAGATGTGGGGGGAGGCAGACACCCACCTGAAGCCAAGGTGCCATACCCCCCACCTGGACTCTGAGTCTGGCTCTGTGGCCCTCCTGTCCAAGGATCGATGCACTCTGTGGACATTCCCAGGAGCGACAGTTGCAGCCTCCGTGCCAGGACGGGTGCTGAACAGAGCTGCATCAGCTCAGCACCAAGTCACTTCCTGTGGGCTCCCAGCCTCTCAACCTCAAAACAGCTGCCCTGAAACTGTTAGACATCTTATCATAGGATCCTGCTGAACACGCTGCAACCACCCTGGTAGGATTTCATCACTCTCAGCCTCCTAGCCCTGCTGGGGAAAGAGGGTCTTGCACTGGTGATTGGATAGCTCCGTGGGCCCTCTATCTAGCCTATGGCTGCAGCAGCTGCATGAGGAAGGGAAGCTCAAAGACAGAAAATGAAAGAAGTGTCCCCAAGCCCTGATCACTATAAACTGGCCTGCCTATGATCTGTGAGCAGGGCCATGAGCCAGGTCAGATACAAGTGGGTGGGGTTATCTGGGAGACCACCAGACTAGGTGGTGAGAAAATTGCCCAGAGGAACAGAACAAGATAACAGAAGGAACTGGAGACATAGAGACAGTTACATAAAACTACTCAATTAGGGGCTGGCAAAACGTCTCAACCTGTGAAAGTACCTGCTACCAAGCCTGCTGACATCTCCAGAGCCCGTATGGTGGAAGGGGAGACAAAGTGGTCCTCTGACCCCTACACGATAACATGAACAGAAGCACACAAGTTCATGTGCAAGTGCAGGAGTGTTCCAATAAATAAATGGGACCTCCTGAAACTGACAAGCTTCTGTAAAGCAAAGGACACAGTCAATAAGACAAAAAGGCAGCCTACTGAATGGGAAAAGATCTTCACCAACCCCCCACCCCCATCAGACAAAGGACTGATCTCCAGAATGTATAAAGAACTCAAGAAATTAAACATCTAAATTCTAAATAATCAATTAAAAAATGGGGGTAGGAGGATAACGGAGGGTGGAAGGGGAAGAGGAGGGGAGAAGGGGAGGGGTGAGGAGAACTTGCGGGAATGGGATAGTAGAGAAGGAGGAAGGCAGAGATGAGAACAAGGAAAGAAATACTTTGATTGAGGGAGCCATTATAGGGTTAGCAAGAAACCTGGCTCTAGAGAAATTCCCAGGAATCCACAGGATGAACTCAGCTAAGACCCTAAGCAATAGAGGAGAGGGGGTCTGATCTTGACTTGCCCTGTAGTCAGACTGATGAATATCTTAAATATCACCATAGAACCTTCATCCAGCAACTGATGGAAACAGAGGCAGAGACCCGCATCGAACACCAATCTAAGTTCCCAAATTCCAGTTGAAGAGTAGAAGGAATGAGAATATGAGCAAAGAGATCAAGACCATGATGGGTTCATCCACTGAAACAGTTTACCTGAGCTAATGAAAGCTAACCAACTCCAGCCGGACTGGGAAGGAACAAGCATAGGACCGAACTAGTCCCTCTGAATGTGGTTGACAGTTGCATGGCTGGGCAGACTGAGGGGCCACCAGCAGTGGCACCAAGATTTATTCCTACTGCATGTACTGGCTTTTTGGGAACCTGTTCTCTTTGGATAATACCTTGCTCAGCCTAGATATAGTAGGGAGGGCCTTGGACTTTCCCCAAAGCAATGTGCCTTACCCTCTCTAAGGGATTGGATGGGGGTGGGGTAGGAGGATATGTGGAAGGAATGGGAGAAGGGGAGGGCATGGGAACTTGGATTGGTATGTAAATGAAAAAAGGTAGTTTGTTTTCTTTAAAAAAAAAAAAAAGAGGGCTGAAGAGATGGCTCAGAGGCTAAGAGCACTGGCTGCATTTCCAAAGGTCCTGAGTTCAATTCCCAGCAACCACATAGTGGCTCACAACCATCTGTAATGAGATATGGTGCCCTTTCTGGCCTGCAGGGACATATGCAGGCAGACCACTGTATACTTAATAAATAAATAAATCTAAAAAGAAAAAGAAAAAAATAGAATTTCAAACCAGGGTTATAGAGAAAGACCCTGTCTGAAGTTAATTAATTAAATTAATTAATTAAAATGCTATGCAGTGGTGCTGGTACACACCTTTAACCCCAATACTCAGGAGGCAGAGGGAAGAGAATCTTTGTGAGTTCAGGCCTGGTCTACACAGAGAAACCCTGTCTGGAAAAACCCAAAAATGATAATTAAAATAATAATAATAAGCCAGACGGTGGTGGATCATGCCTTTAATCCCAATGCTCAGGAGGCAGAGGCAGGCAGATAATGTGAGTTTAAGGTCAGCCTGGTCTACAAAGCAAATTCCAGAACAGCCAAGGCTACACAGAGAGATCCTGGAGAATTGGGGGCAGAGAAGAGAGGAAGGGAAGAAGGGAAGGAAAGAAGGGAGGGAGGGAGGGAGGGAGGGAGGGAGGGAGGGAGGGAGGAAACNAAGAAGGGAAGGAAGGGAGGGAGGGAGGGAGGGAGGGAGGGAGGGAGGGAGGGAGGGAGGGAGGAAACCTAACAATCACATGCAACCCAGAACCCTAACCCAGCTTCTGTACTGAGGAGGACATGTGCAATGCTGGATGAATGGATAAAATTAGAGTACAGAAAGCAGATAAAGAGGAAATGTCATATCAGTCAAATTTACTCAGGTTTAGAGCACTGAATAATTACGTAAACAAGTGTTCTTGATCTGAAGTACCTACAGACTGAGTGTCTATGACGTTCTCTTCCCAGTGGTGCTGGAAAACATTCTTCAATCCTAGAGGAAGGAAGGAAGCAAACAGGGCAGGGGATGAGGTGCAGGAAGATGGTTCAGTGGGAAAGGGTGATTGTCGCCAAGGCTGACTACCTGAGCTCAGTTCCTGGGAATAACAAGATGGAAGCAGTGAACTGACTCCCAAAAGTTTCCTCTGGCCCCCACATGCACACCCAAAAAAATAATTAAAATAAAATACAAACATGTAAAATAAAAACATTAAATAAAGAAAATGAGGTAAATGTTAGTAAGAGATGAACCTAAGGCAAAAGTTATATAGACTTCTCTGATTTATACTGCAATTTTCTGTACATTAGAAATGATTTCTAAGTACATGTTAAGTCAGAAGAACAACAATCTTGTTTTAAGATGGACAAAGCACTTGAGCTTCTCTAAAGATACACAAATGACCAACAAACTCGTGAAAGGATGTTCAACATCGTTTAGGGAAATGCAAGGCCAAACCACAAGGAGATACCACTTCACACCCACTGAGCCACTGCAATAAAGAGAGGAAATGACAAGCTTTGGCCAGGATGATGAAAAACTGGTAACCTCGGTGATGCAGCCACAGATGGGGATGAGTGTAGTTGTCCTCAGAAGGTTGAGCCTAGAATTGCCATGGCACAGAGCAGTGCCCCTTCCATTACATACCCCAAAGATTTAAAAGCAGGGATTCAAAGAGATTTCTGTGCGCCCAGGTTCACAGCAGCACACATGTGCATATGAATAAAAGTGAAAACTAGTATAAAGTAAAGGTAGAGCTAAGAATGCAGCTAGGAACAGAGTAATAGTATTAGTATATGCATGGCTCTGAATGCAATGCCCAATATAGAAAGAAGGAATGAAGAGAGGGACGGAGAAAAGAAGGCTGTTGCAATATCTCAGTGGTAGAGTGCTTGCCTAGCATGCGAGAGGCCACACATAGGTCCTAGGTTCGATCCCCAACACTGCAGTAGTACCACTAAAATAATAGGGGAAACAATTTAAATGCTAAACATCTGAGAAACAGGCAATCTGTAATATAGTATGCTCAAACAATGAAATATTATCCAGCCATTAAAAGGAATGGCATACAACTCATCACAGATAATCTCAAAAATCCTGCTGAGAAGCCAATCACAAAAGGCCACACCATGTAAGACTCTATTCCTAGGAAACCCCTTAAACAGGCAAGTCCATAGAGACAGCAAATTAATAGTAGCCAGGAGGCGGGAGGAGGAGAGACTGCTAATGGGTGCAAAGTCTCTTTGGAGGGTGATGAAAATGTTCTGAGCTAGCTATAAGTGGCAGTGGCACAACGCTGTGCAAACATTAAATGCCTCTGAATTTTGTGCATTAAAAAATGTTTGCATGGGGGGTAGAGAAATGGCTCATCGATTAAGAGCACTTGCTGCTCTTCCAGAGGACTGGGGTTCCCAGCACCTACATGGCAGCTCACAACTGTCTGTAACTCCAGTTCCAGTTGATCTGATACTTTCACATCAATGCACACAAAATAAAGTTAAATAAAATTTTTAAAACTTGCTATTTTTTTCTGGTTCTGGGAATAGAACCCAGAAACTTACATATGCTAGCCATGGCTCTCACTGGGTTACTTGCCCAGTACACACACACACACACACACACACACACACACATGATAGATAGATAGATAGATAGATAGATAGATAGATAGATAGATAGATAGATGATAGATAGACAGACAGACAGATAGATAGATGTGTGTGAGTGTGTGTGTACATACATTAGTCTTAACTATATTGACCAGGCTAGCTCTGAATTCCTGGGATCAAGCAATCCTATTGCCTCAGCCTCCCAAGTAGCTGAGGCTGCAGACATGAAGCACCACACTTAAGATTTTATGTTACACAAATTTCACCACAGTTCTTGTTTCAGGTTTTGTGTTTGTTTGGGGATTTTGTTTGTTTGTTTGTTTGTTTGTTGATGCAGGGACTCCTTATATAGCCAAGGCTGACCTTGAGCTCACAATCTGCCTTAGCTTCCTAAATACTGAGATTACAGGCATGAGCAAGCAACACTGCCTGGCCCACCTCCGCTGTTTGATACAGACCTAGTGTGGTGGCACAGGCCCGTGATACCAGCTACTCCAGAGGCAGAAGGGCTTCTGGAGCTCAGGAGCCTGGAGCTGTAGTGCACTCTAACCAGGTATTCACACTAAGTTTGACATCAATGTGGTGACCTTGGGAGTCAGAGACAATCGGTCCGTTTGTGCTGAACAGTAGCAGGGGCACCCATGAGTAGCCACCACACTCTAGCCTGGAATCACAATGAGACCTCATTTTTTCATTAAAATACTTCATAGAATTAGCACTTTATATAGTTTTATTAGTCCTTTGAGAATTCTGTACAATATGTTTTTGCTTTTTGAGACAGTCTCACTATGTAGCTCTGGCTATTCTGTAACTTGTTATGTAGACCAGGCTGACCTCAAACTCACAGCAATCCACCTGTCTCTGCCTATCAGTGCTGGGATTAAAAGTGTGCACCACCACACCTGGTTTTATGTACCAATTTGTGCTAGTAAAATTTTGTTTGTAGACTGTTTTGAATTAATGTGGGGGCTGGAGAAATT